CCCCCCCACTCCCCGACCAGCTCTATGACTATGACTACATCATAGATCACCTCCTAGACCCTAAAAAAAACAACAACAACACACAACTCAATCAAAGCAAACCACAGACTAGGCCTACTAAAAATGATGCAATTAAGATACTTTCAAAAAACCTATAATTTCTTAAATAAAATCTCTCACTTTATCTCTCCTCTTTTCGATATCCTCAGGTTTCCGCTCCAGCAAAACTTTGATGAATTCCTTTCCAATTTGCTCAGGCAAGGCACACGCGTAGTGGAGTGGATAGCGGTTGCACTGATCATGAGAGACATATATTATGTAACATAGGCCTATTTAATTCATACAGCGACATAAAAATCAAAAGAACAACCCCCCCCAAAAAAAACCCCAAAAAAAACGAAAAACGTTTTTTCAAAACATCCCCCCCCCCCTTCCCAAATATCTCTAGATCAAAACAAAATGTAACAAAAACAAATGAATGAATTGTATTATTAGTATTAACAATGTTTTTTCAAACATCAAATCAGAGTCAGACACAAAAATGAGAAGAGAGAGCACCGAACACACAGAAAAACATAAATGGCCAAACTATGTATACGAGGGGGGTTCAAGAAGACTTTGGTATAAATATGAAGGAATAAAGATAGAGTTTTGTAACTTGGCACACATACTTTCATTTCTCTAAATAGTCACCGTGCAGAGTAACACATTCTGCCCCCTTTCTTTGACCTTCAAAAGAAAGCAAAATGACCCAAAATGGGCCCCTAACTAGTCTTTCACAGCTTGAATGGCGTCCTCGTTATATACATGTGTATTTATAAAAATAAATAAATAAAATAAATAAATAAATAAATAAATAAATAATAGCCAAAAAGTTATAGATAGGGCATGGATATTAAATGAAATTGTTGGCGTATATAGGTTTTAACACCCCTTGAAATTGAAACACTGTGGCCTTAGGTCATAATCTAAGTGGCGAGACATACGAATTTAGTGTCCATCTAAGACAGGACTGGGTCAAAAGGGTAAATTCGGGGAAAGTGCCTTTCTAAAGGACACGACGTCGGACCGAGCTAGGCCTCGATCTCCGGACCCCTCAATCTCTCACCACTATGCTAGCATCTGCGTTTGTCGCGGCTGCACCGCGATTTTTGGGCCGCGATTTTCGCTTTTAAAAAAAAAAAAAGAAAAGGCTACTTCATAACATTGACGTGTATTTTGATAATTTTAAGGTGTCCATGTATAGTTATTTTCACGCGAAGAATAACAATAAGTACAAAACCGGTACATACTATTTATTATATTGCTGTTTGTCGTTTATTTTTCCCTCTTTGTTGGTGTGTTAATTTTTTTGGGTTATTTTTCTGATTGTGTGTGTGTGTGTGTGTGTGTGTGTGTGTGTGTGTGTGTGTGTGTGTGTTTATATACCGTAATGCCATTTACTTTGACGTTCCCGTGTTATGTTTGAGCGTGTCTCCACCAAAACCGAACATTAACACTGTAACACTGGCAGGCCCCTTGTGTGCGATTCCATAATTTACTTGTGTATCCTGTACTTTTTCTTGAATTAGACACGTTTAGGGTTAAAACGGTCAATCTTCGGATAGGTGGACACACGCCCTTAGTTGTTATTATTTGTGGTTTTTTGTGTGCTGTTCTGATTTTAATTTTATTCTGTTGTAAAACCTTTATTTTTCACGTTTTTACACTCTATGTGGCTACAAATAATATTCTGGATGCTTAAAACAGAGCACAAAAAATTATGGTGCTTTAGATCTAGATTAATAAGTTACCTCTATCAATATATTACGTCGTCACAGTTAGTTGAAAGCTTGACAATTAATGGCAACTTTTGCCATTTTTATGGCAACTTTTGGACAAAAAATGACAACAAACGCAGATGCTAGATTATGATACAGATACATGTATCATGACGAACCACAACTTCACACAAATAGAATGAGAACCTCACGAAAAAGGACGTTACACATAATAAGAGGAGTTGACAAATTATCATGTACATACAATATTATAACGTCGATGCCACAAGTAATCTACTTAGCCCTTGCAGTGCTGAAACGTTCCCATTTACGTTTGTACAGACAAGACAAAACGTTCTTTTTTTGTTGTTGTAAGTATTTTACGCCGTTCGCAACTGCATAAGGTCATATGAGCGCGCGGGACACATTAAACTTTTTCAATTGGTAGGAAATTTTGAATTTTGCCAGGGTGGCGTTCGAAGCCTACTCTTATCGATTTTGAACCACCAAGGAATCTTTAATGTGCACAGCTTGCACACGAGACCTCCGAGATTTTTCGCCCTTGTTCGAGAAGGCAAGGTGTATATCTTACCTACCATAAGATCAGGGATATGGCTGAAAGACAGCAGTAAGAAGGAGCCTAGGAGAAGCAGTAGAAAGACTGCAGAAAGAGTCAGAAGCCCAAAAAGGGGATAAAAGGAGGTGAGGGGCTGGGGGCAGAAAGTGGAGATGAATGCAGATGACAGAAAATTGTTAGAGAGCAGGAAAGGGTGTGAAAGGAGAAAATTTTAGAGATGAAAAATTTTCAGTCGCTATCCGGATTCCAACCCGGGACCTATTGGATGAGGGGCGAACACCTTAACCTCTAGGCCACGACAGCCCTCACAAAGTGCTCATCGAAGATATAATTTAAACAAAGCGTTAACATATTTTCCCTTGTTTAGTAGGCCTACTAGAAACGCGCTTCAGATGCAAATGCATTTATTTCAAAAGTATCCCCTATAAATGAGCACATGCAGTAAACATGTCAGTGCACCAGTGTAAGAGTGGGTGAACAAGAACACGAGTGAGATGTGAAGAGGTCAAGTTTATTTTTACACTCTCTCAAATCTCCATACAAGATGCACCCTTCATGATCTCCACAATGCAGTTTAATTCTATGGTCAAGGCATACATTTTTTTTGTTGCTTTTTTCGATTCTTGATAGGAACAGCACAACAAAAACTAGATCTAGTTGTTGTTTTTTTCTGTCTCGACGTAAAAGTACACACGGAGTTCAGAGGATTGTTGAGGTACAAACGAAAGAACCTCGCAAAAGACAAGTCGACAGACTTGCGTTACCTTCTTTATGCAGTTGCGAGCTCTGTAAGAACCTTACAAAAACAAGACTTACGTTATCTGGCATAGACTTGAGCACAGGCCTTGACGTGCAGAGATACTTGGTCACTTCAAGTTGCTGGAAGACTATAGCACGGATCAGTGCTGTGTATCCGTTCTGATGGGGTAGGGGAAAATGAGCAAACTGTAACAAACCTCCTGCTCTGTCTTTCTGTCTGTCTGTCTGTTTGTCTGTCTGTCTGTCTGTCTGTTTGTCTGCCTGTCTGTCAATCTGTCTGTCAATCTGTCTGTCTATCTGTCTGTTTGTCTCACTCACTCATTCATTCACTCCCTCACTCACTCACTCACCCACTCACTCAGTCACTCCCCCCCCCCTAGTCTCTTTCTGTCTCTCTCTCCCTCTCTCTCTCTCTCTCTCTCTCTCTCTCTCTCTCTCTCTCTCTCTCTCTCTCTCTCTCTCTCTCTCTCTCTCTCTCCCCTCCTCCTCTTCCCAGACATCCAAAATTTTGGGATCGATATAATCAATTGTATTACAACAGTCTAAGCAGTTTCACTTTAACTTACCCCCTCCTCCTCGTGTGTGTGTGTGTGTGTGTGTGTGTGTGTGTGTGTGTGTGTGTGTGTGTGCGTGCGCGCGTGTGAATGAGTGTGTGAGTGTGTTTGTGTGTCCGCGCGCGCGCGTGTGTGCTTGCGTGTGCTTGCGTGTGCACGCCACGTGCGCGGGAGTGCGTATTCAGAGATCGCACTAAATAGTTTCAAGTTAGATTGCAAAATTTCTAAACCAACAAGATTTCAGAGAAAAGTAATTACAACTGCTCACATTGCAATTAGACATCAGACAACCTCAAGTCTAAAAGGTAACTGTTATCATATTCTATGTGTCTTCGAAATAATTTACCACTCCCAGAAGCGGTAAATTCACTTCACTAGACTTGACATGGTTGGGTTTAAGTTTCAAGTGGCTGAGATGTCCGACCACGGTCAGTACGACTCTGACAGACAGCACCGGGGAGGGGGGGGGGCATTAGGATACCGTACTTCCTATATATCACAGGCTTACACATAATTGGTCGCTTTTAAGGACAAGCGGGCTAACCCAGATTTCGTGGGTTTCCAGCAATTTTGACCTACACCAAAAATGGGCACTACCCTACGTATAGAAGAAGTTTGGTTTCTTTGGTGTGTATATTAGTTTGGCTATAGAGAAACTCTGCTTGTCTTTTAAAGAAACTGAACAATGCTCCAAAAACTTTACCTTCGATTTTCTTAAAACAGCAACATTCGGGACAGCCCCATTGTGCTTAAAAGCGACCAATAATAATGATAACTACGTTTACTTTACTAATTACTTGTACTTTTTGACCCTTTGTTAAGCATGCAGGGGAGATAATTGTACTTCTACTTATATATAGCAAATAGCTCATATCCACGCTCTATAAAGCGTGCTCCATGTGCTTTACAACTGTTATATTTTTCCTTGTGTCGACAGCAGCGGCCAAAATAAAACCGTCGTAACAACCGAACAGGCTGTTCCTCACCCTGATGCTGAAATATACTGCCCCGCATAACTGAAGTACGCCGCGAAACGTTCGAGCAGCAAGTTCGGAAGTGGTGATCACATTGGTCCGTGCGACTCCGTCCGACTGTGTTTAAAAAAATGGTGCTGAGCAGGCGAAAACAGCTCAGTGGTCGGTCCCCCCTTTTGTTTTACATTGTGTCTCTACGGCGTCGCGGAACACTCCGAAAGCAGGGCGGGCCTGTCCGCTCGACTTGAAGAAGTGCTGCACCCACGCACGTCTTTTTGGGTCCTCACGACTCCTCACGTCTTGTCGTGTCAGTGAAATCACAGATAGGAAATAAAGAGGAGGGCACGACTTTTTTCGCGGCGCACGTCAGTTGTGCCGTTGTGCGTGGCAAAGACGAGCTACTATAATTAACTAGCTGGGAACCCGTTCGATGAACGGACTCAAAAGAATCGATCGTCAAGTCATTGTGGAAACAGTGCGCACTGCTTGTGAACGGAAGACTCACTTGTTCATAATGGAGTCCCAAAATCAGATCTAAACGAATCTAACTAAAAACTGAAAATTAAACTACTGTGACTTCAGACTCCTTAAGATAACTGTGCACCCTTTAAACCATTTTGAACCATCATTAATGTTTTCAAATTCAAAAGTTAAGGGGTTCGGAAGTTTTAGCCGACCAAAGTGACGAACTTTCACAAATATGCTATAATATATTATACATAGATAAGCTCCTCCTTGCACTCACCTTATCTTGGAAGTTTCCTACGTTGTGTGTCTTCACGTCTGCCAGATCTCCCTTGGCCGCGGCCTGGAATAAGGTGATCCCGCGAAACTGTGGAGAAGAAAATGGTGATTTGTGTAGGTCATGTCTGTCTGTCTGTCTGTCTGTCTGTCTGTCTGTCTGTCTGTCTGTCTGTCTGTCTGTCTGTCTGTCTGTCTGTCTGTTTGTCTTGTCTGTCTCATTCTCTCCTTCTATTTTGTCTGATCATGTTTACTCCCCCTCCCCCAAGCGTCCCCACCCCTTTGTTTATGTCCCCATCATCTTTTTCTCCGTGTTTCTTTTCTGTCTGCCCCCTCCCCCTTCCTCCTCGCCCCCATAATGAGAGAGAGGGGGGGGGGAGTCAGAGTCAGAGTCAGACAGACACAGAAAGACAGACTTTCCACCTGACTTTCCACCTGTAAAGCAGACGGACTAACAGAACAAAGACAGGCGCAACTAACATGAAGACAACATTCACTGTCCGTTACCTCAATCTCCGAGTAGTGCCTCAAAGCCTTGATATCGTCACTGTCTTTGCCTTCTTCCACTACCTCCAGCAGCGTCTTGCCGAGTTGCTAAGAATAGACCACAACAGTTTTAGCTTTAGTAAGCACTTGTAACATAATACGGTCAATAAGTGCAAAAGATTGGACGCGTTACGAGAGACTAACAAGCACAAAAATGAGGAGAGATAAGGACGACAGATGTTTGATAGGAAAGAAGGAGCAAACCCGCCAACCACCAGCAGACCACAACAGACTTGATATCAATACGTACATTAACACACAGGTACCCCAAATGGCAGGTCATGAAAGGTTTCTATTCCAAACCACCAGAAAGAGACAGTTTAGACATTATAAGAGTTTTACAGCACTTGCAACATAATATGGTCATAATATTATAAGTGCGACATAATAGAGGTGATGCAAGAGAGTTATAAAACAAAAAAAGAAGGAGAGGTAGGTTACAAATACAAAAAAGAGGGAGAGGTAAGGACGATAGATGTTTGATAGAAAAGAAGAAGCAAACCACATGAGAACACCCTCCAACCACCAACAGGAAGAGTCATCTGTGATTCTTCGGAAACATAAGCATACAGTGCAAACTGCCAGGTGACGACATGCGCTAAAACACCTAAGCTACGTACAATTCGACAAGATTTTTCGGTGTCTGTGTTTGGCAGGGTACCCATTCGCACATGGCTAGTTGCAGTGAGGAAAATTCATGTCGAGTGCCTCTGTTGTGAGGAAATTTCGTACGGAGTGCCTTTCCCAAGATCACAACGTCAGACTGCGCAAAGCTTTGGATTATGATGAGAATTGTAGTAAACTTTGTATTTGGAAATAACATTTTTTGTTGAATAGTACTTGACCTACTCTATAACTGCTCTACCACCGGCACTGGTGGTGTAACGGTTAAGCGTTTCGTTGTCGCACGCATGAGACCTGAGTTCGAATTCGAATTTGGAGAATTTTTTAAATTGAGTATCTCGGTGTTTCTGCTGGGATGTTGTATCACTCTCAGCCCGGGTCTGTCTGCTGGGATGTTGTATCACTCTCAGCCCGGGTCTGTCTGCTGGGATGTTGTATCACTCTCAGCC